TCTGTCTGTCTGTCTGTCTGTCTGTCTGTCTGTCTGTCTGTCTGTCTGTCTGTCTAACTGTCTGTCTGTCTATTACAAATGTACATACAAACATACGTGCCTGCACACACATACATATACTCAAACATGTACACATAGAGAAAGACAGCCGTAGGTGAGGACAGACTGACACCTTCGCGAAGAGAGACGGACAAGGTAAAACACAACTCACACACATGCACACTCGCACGTGCGCGTTCTCACAATCTCATCCCTTGTCTCCTCTCTTTAAGAGAGTAATAAAAGAGAAAAAACACATTACTCAATCCTAAAAGTACATACCGCCAAGTGGGGGTCCCGAGAAGCAGCCGAGACCGGAGGCGAGCAGCACGTACCCCAGACCGACCTCCATATCCGCCACGCCGAGGAGGTCCACCATGACACTCATGTAGAGAGCCAGGATCCCGCCATAGGCCAGCCCCAGCAGCACCAGCACCACAGACAGCTCCACGAAGCTGTACGCCAGAGGGACCACGCCCAGGAACACCCCCGTCAGGATGTTAGTCACCACGTAAATGATTATCCTCCTTCCGAATAAGTTGCCTAAGATACTTATTATTATACAACCTACTAACTGGCCAACACCGAAAAAAGTAAATACAAAGGCAGATTCTTGAGGGGAGTAACCTTTGATGACGATAAGCTCGGGTCCGAACGTGAAAAACATGGTAGTTGTTAGGCTCCATATAATAGTTGAAACAAAGTAAATGGCAAAACGAAAATCTGTTAAAATAGCTATGTGTTTTTTCAGCTGCTCTTTGAAACTTTCTTTGTTACGTTCTATCATCGAGGCTTGTCCAGATTGTAATGTGTTTTGTGTAGTCTTAGAACTGAGTGGTGAGCCCTTGTCATTACTACTGATCCCGTCAGCAGAATCACTGCAGATGGACAAAATTTCTGTCTCTGGAATGTCATGTAGCAGCTCGTCGTCTCCAAAATGGAAAGCTGGTTGGGAGTCTTGGTCCCAAAATGGTGACCAGTGAATGTAGGAGGGAGCTAGAATTCTGGAAATGTCGTCAGTGGGTGCGAAGAGAAGACTTCGTGGTCTGGATTGTCGTCGTAGAGCGTATGAAGCGTTCGAGTCTCGCAACCGGAAACTGTTACTCCTCACACTCGAGTTTCTTTGAAGTCCCGAGCTGTCGTGCCGCTCTCGTCTTTGTCGATACTGAGCTTCACTCGCCGAAGAATCGGAAACAATTGAACTCCTCTTACTGAGAACTGATGCATTATCCTTTAAGGGTATCTCTGTAACCGCTTCATCGAACTTTTCAGGAGCTCGGCCAGGTTCACAGTCCTCTGTGGTAGATCCTATGCTGCTATAAGATGCGGACAAGTCGGGGAGATTGCTGGGGTTTGGGGGAGGTAACATCAAAAGAGCAAAGATGAAGAGATGGGCGTCTATTCCCGCCACGATCACCAGAGAGCCTGCGAGGGGGAAAAGGAACGGATGAGTGAAAATAATTTCCTATTTTAAGTATTTATTTCTTATAGAATTTTAAGGTAAAATACAGTTACACACTCCGCCCCCTGTCTCTCCCCCCCCCCTCTCTCTCTCTCTCTCTCTCTCTCTCTCTCTCTCTCTCTCTCTCCCTACTTAATATACCCCCCTCTCTCTCTCGACACATCAGGTATAACACTCTAGGCTCATTTCATTTCACAAATAAATGATAAGCCAGACTCCTAATTTATTATATGTTTCCGTTTTGTCGAAATAAACTATTATTACTGCTGCTCGTTTCAAATGACTGAAGAAAACGTTTTGTTGGTGTGTAGCGAGTACTACTGTTGATGCTGTTATTATATTTACTCTTCACATGCCCCTGCTAAAGCCCAGGGAGTAACTAACTGTGAGATCTTCCTCTTACAGTGCTGCTGTTTTGGTTGATGATTTTGATTAACAAATCCGCAATAAATGGACAGATGATGAAGGCAAGGAACGTAAAGAGAAATCTGCTTGTGAGGATAGCAATGATTATTTAAACATTTGTTTTAATATGGGCAACAAGATAGTAATAAATCTAAAGACAACACAAACAGACACAGCACAGATCAGATGCAAACAGAAATACAAAAACAGATTCAATTCAAACAGACACAATAAAAAGGGATACAACACAGGCAGAATCTGCAAAATCTGATACAACATAGATTTAACAAAAACAGGCTTAACACAACCAAACACAAAAAAGACAGACACAGTATAAACAGACACAGCACAGGTAGACCGAAAAGATATAACACAGCAAACACAACACACACAAACAAAAATAAAGACAAACACAATGCAAACAGGTAGACCCAACACAGACGCATGCAACACAGACACAAGACAAAATAAACATAATACAAACAGAGAAGTACAGAGACGCAAGACAAACAGACACAACACAGATGAGAAAACAGATACAACACTGACAAAACACAGATGAATATAACATACACTCAGCGCAACATAGTCACAACACAAATGGACAGGCAGAGACAGACACAACACAAAGACAACACAGATGAGAAAACAGACACAGCACAAACACGACACATACACGTATACAAATACAACACAAACACGACACATACACGTATACAAATACAACACAAACACGACACATACACGTATACAAATACAACACAAACACGACACATACACGTATACAAATACAACACAAACACGACACATACACGTATACAAATACAACACAAACACGACACATACACGTATACAAATACAACACAAACACGACACATACACGTATACAAATACAACACAAACACGACACATACACGTATACAAATACAACACAAACACGACACATACACGTATACAAATACAACACAAACACGACACATACACGTATACAAATACAACACAAACACGACAGAGAGAAAAACAATACAAACAGGTATGTACTACAGTGCAGACGGATACAACACAACAAATATATCACAACCTAAACACAGTAATGACAAACACAGACAGAGACATCAACTGTGGTAGTGAAACACCCTCCTACCTCTCCAGGTATACTCCTCAATGAGCACTCCCACAATGAGGGGCATGATGGTGGCCCCCAGGGCAGTCCCAGCGGTGGCGACCCCAGTGGCCAGAGACCGGTACTTGTCGTAGTACATACCACTCAGCACGTGGGAGGGCAAGTAGATCAGACAGCCGCCGAGACCTGGGTAAAATACAATTTTAAGGGGGGGGGGGGGGGGTAGGATGTATACATTATCGCACAGGATTAACGCCCCTTTCAACACTCTAAGGTCATTTAAGATGCAGGACCTTCAAATTAAACGTCCAACTCCGAAATGACCGAATCAAGTGGATGGGTAGCCTTAACCACCCCAACCCCCCCCCCCCCCAAACAAAAACAACAAACAAAAACCATGGTCAAAAGGGCAAGTTGGAGATTCGAACAAGGACCATCCACTCTTTAGTCCAGCATGACACTTTCTGAGCTAACGGTGTACCCAAAGGGTTTGTAACAAAAGGCAATGCACTCACAAAGTGAAAAACATGGCAAAGGCTGACGAGTTGATTCAAGATTATGTATGGAGTTGGTTTCGTAATTTTCAAAACAATATTTTTCGAACGCAAAAATTGATTATGCTTATTGACAAATTTGATGTTCCCTTGGTTGAATGTTATTAATTCGAAGATTTTTACTTCATTTATTTCCATCTGTAACTCGGCCCACGCTAATGTTTTTACCGAGTCGGGAAAGGTTGACATAAAATATTGATAAAGGGACGTAACGATCTATTGGTACGTTTCAGCCAAAAAATACGATTTTATTACACGGTTACTCCCCTTGTTTGAACATTGTTCGTTCTGTTCCATCTTCGGTGGCCTTAGCTTTGTATGTTTTACAAGAGAAGCAGACCACAGAGTCAACTCGTGATACACTACACCTGAACTTACTACCCTATAAACTGACCATAGAGCGTAATCTTGCCAGTGTTCTTTTCGAACTAGTTCAATCAACCTACTTTTGAAAATGTGTCATAGAATCCTACTCTATCTTTCTCTCAACCACCTCTATTTTAACTCAACTGTCGTCTATGTATGTAAGTATGAATAGGTATTTAGTGCATTTGTACGTCAGCCTTCTGGACTAAACTATGTACTAGCCTAATGGGCAAAACTATTTGTCAGCCGTAAGACTAGAATTTTGTTAGTAAGTTTACTAGGACAAATCAATTGTTAACCTTCTGGGCGACATCATACCTTCGCCTGCTGAGCGATATCAAACCTTCGCCGTCTGGACAATTCATTACTATAGCCTCAAGCAATTTATTACACTTCTTTTTCCTTATGCTTTCTGTGAAACGCCATTGCACATTTAAGACACAGAGGACATCCTAATCTTAAACCGCATTAAAAAAAATAAATAGACTCCTCTGATGCCTGCAGTATTCCCATGGATAAGAATCAAATACCATTTCACGAGGAAGGAGAGGTACGTGCTAGGGAGAATGTTGATGAGACGACTGCAAACAAGGATGACATCAAAAACCTTTTTAAACAAAATAACAAAACTATGGAATGAGTCAAGGAATGAATGGTTTCACATCAATTTCATCGCCATCGTCTTTGTCGGCGCCACCTTCTTCTCCTTTACACAAAAGAGAAAAAAAAGAGTGAGAAACGAGATGTAAAGGAGGAAAAAGCATCGAAAAAGAAAAGGAAAGGTTTTCTTGACCACGATATTATGTCAGGGAGGGAAGGCAAGGTCATAGGAGACATCCGGTCCTGAATGGGACTTGTCGCACAAAGGGGTGGAAAATCATCGAAAACTCAATACCCCTCGTACTGAGTACGGGGAGATGGGAGTGGGTGATTACGATGACTGGTACAAAGAGGCAGCCTTGGAGTACGAGGTGGAGGTAGAAATAGGAGAGCCAATTTCGGAAACCTTGGTCAAGCTTATCGAGACTACTACGACCGAAGGGACACGAAACAAAAAAGAACAGTTTTGAGATACAAAAGACTTAGAAACTGCCCCGCTTTTACAAAAAGGAAAAATAAAACCATTTGGGGTATGCTTATATTACATATCGAAGGAAAAAAGGGTGTGTAGTTGGCTTCTCCTCAGAAAAGTCACAACAGCTATGTCATGGTCCGTTGAATAATTGCTGACACAGCTGTGAAAGCGCTGGCGGACGCAAAGCCGTTTCGCGGCCAGGCAATGAAAAAAAAAAACCCATCAGCGGAAGGAAGGCTAAAACCCTGCAGTGCCATTTGAGGCATACGATATTTGTGAAATGGTGTCGGATGGAAACACAGGGCTGTACAGAAAGGATCTTGAAAAGCAAATAAAAGAAGTAAAAGAGCAGTAGAGTAGAAGTTGACGTCAGTCTGTCACGATCGATCTACCTTAGGTAGCTAGCAAGGTCTATAACGTCTCTTCCACTTTGCATGCTAAAGGTCATCATCAGGACATGATGGACGGATTATGGAGTTTAAAAAAATTATTTTTTAAAGTGTCTGCATCAAATATTTTGGTAAATATAGATCTAATAACCCCCCCCCCCCCCTGTCCTCTATTTTCTTTTTTCAAAATTCAAATTGCTTTCACCAGTGCACAATACTCGGGGTTTAGCTGCATGAAGACGTGCGGAGAGGGGTTGGGAGTATAATCATAATATTACATACTTTCACACTCACCGTTTCACAGGGATTTTTTTTTTAAATTCAAGCATTTTCCCATTCTTTGTTTGGGCAACGATAGTGTGAACACCATGATAGTGTGGTCAAAAATTCGAGGTGCAACTTATTGTCAAATTTTAATATCTCCTCAACTACTATCGAACATAATTTGTCATCAGATAAATATTTTGTTTACACCTGTTAGCTCTATTCTAGAAAAGTCCCAGTGGGTGCTTCTACAGATTTAAAAGGGTTTACAGCTGGGACAATATCGCTTTAAAAAGCAATTCCGTCATTTGTTTCTAATTGCGAGCTAATGTTAATTGAACGCATGTTTTCATAACTTTAAGAGCAAAGAAGTGTTCACTAAAGAATTGAGTTCTCTCTCTCTCTCTCTCTCTCTCTCTCTCTCTCTCTCTCTCTCTCTCTCTTGCCCTTTTTAACTCCCAGTTTCCATGATGTCCACGCTTTTTCAATTTCCGCTTGTACCGCTCGCCTATATGTCATCTTTGGTCTTCCCTTCTTACGTTTTCCTTGTGGGTTCCACGTTAAAGCCTGCCTGATGATGCTTGTCGGGGGTCTCCTCAGGGTGTGTTCAATTCATTTCCATTTCTTCACCTGTATGTCTTCATTTACTGGCCTTTGGCTTATTCTTTCCCACAGATGAGCCTAAGTGACTCGATCGCACCACTTGATCCACACTATCCTTCGTAGGCATTCATTTACGTAGCTCTGCAGTTTCCTTGCTGCTGATGTTGTGAGCCTCCATGTCTCTGAACCATACAGTAGAGCAGTCTTCACGTTTGTTTTGAAGATCCTCAGCTTGGTGCTCAATCCCTGTTCCTTAGACATATATGTCTGAGAATGATGAATGCTGCTCTTGCTTTTTGGATTCTGACCTTGATGTCTTCGTCTGTTTCTCCTTCCTTGTTGATGACACTTCCCAAGTAAGTAAAGGATTCAACATCCGCCAATGGTGTCCCTTGCAGTGTGATAGGAACGTCGTCTGCATTCATTCGTAGAACTTTCGTTTTATTCGTGTGAATATGGAGTCCTACAATACGGGAGAAGGTCCTGAGGCGATCTGTTTTCTGTTGCATCTGGGCTCGACTGTGAGAAAGAAGTGCCAAGTCGTCGTCAAAGTCCAAGTCTTCCAACTGACTGGAAAGGGTCCACTGTATGCCACCGCGTTGTCCCGATATTGTCTGTCTCATTATCCAATCCACTGCTAATAAAAAGAGAAAAGGCGATAGCAGGCATCCCTGCCTCACTCCTATATTCATTTCAAATGAATCTGTCCGCTGCTCTCCAAGTAAAACACTGCAACTCATTCCCTCATACATCTTCTTGATCAATCTCATGAACTTGACAGGTATTCCGTAGTGGTGCATGAGTTTCCATATTGAGTCCCTATCTAGGCTGTCAAAAGCTTTCTCGTAGTCAACATAGATAACGTACAGGGAAGAAGTCCACTCTGCAGACTGCTCCTCTATTATCCTCAAAGTAGCAATCTGGTCTGTACTTGATCTCTTTTTACGAAATCCTGCCAACTCTTCTCTTAGTTTTGCTTCCACGGCTTCCTTCAGTATTTCCAGTATGGTACGACTTAAAATTTTCCCAGGAATGGACAGGAGCATGATTCCTCTGTTGTGTTTACACTCATGCAGGTCTCCTTTCTTGGGTAGTTTCACGAGCAATCCCTCTCGCCAATCCTCAGGAAGTTCTTCGCTGTCCCATATCTTGCCAATAATTCCATGAAGAATCCCTGCCGCTGTGTCGATATGCGCCTTGAGAACTTCTGGGGGGAATTCCATCAGGGCCAGCTGCCTTGCCTGCTTTCTGGTGTCTTATCGCCTCCTTGATCTCCTCTAAACTAGGCTTTAATTCACTCACCCCCAGATCAATCTCTGCTGGTGGAATGTCAAACTATTTTTTCTGGCCTTGGTCTGTTCAGTAGCTCTTTGAAATGTTCCTTCCAGCGTTCTTTCTGTTCGTCTGGATTTGTGAGAAGCTTTCCCTCTCTATCCTTCACTGGCACATCCGCATTCTTGTATCTGCCTGCAAGTTTCTTGGTGGTTTCATACAGTCCTCTCAAGTTTCCTGCCCCTGTTGCTTCCTCTGCCTCGCGCGCTAGGTCATCTACATAGTTTCTTTTGTCTTTCTGTACGCTGACTTATATATCCGTCATTGCTTTGGTGTATAACTGTATTCTTCTTGGGCTTTTGTTTTGGCTGCTCTTGTCTTGTCCCTGTTTACCTGATCCTTTTTCTTTTTCCTGTCCTCTATCTTCCTCAGAGTGGTGCCAAGGCTTGTGCTCACGTTTCCGTTTCCCCAGTACCTCTTGACACGCAGTGGTCCAGCCTTCTTTTATTGTCTAAAATGTTTCTTCCATGCTGCTATCCTCGCCTAGTGTTTCCAACACTTGGAACCCGTTCTTAACTGCTACATTAACTCCTCTCTTGACGATGGCTCTCTCAGAAATTTTACGTAGTGCCGGTACCTATGATAGACAATTCCCTGTCTTTGCTTTATTTTTAGTCGGATTGTTGAAATGAGAAGATGATGGTCTGAAGCTACGTCTGCATCCCCTGTAAACTCTAACATCCCTTTTTGATCTCCTGAATTTCTTATTGACACATAATATGTGGTCAATCTGGTTTTCAGTTTGTGGGCCTGAAGACACACATGTTGCTTTGTGTATCTGTTTATGTGGGAAAACAGTCCCTCCAATCATGAGCCCATTCGTGGCACATATTTCTGCAAATAGTTCTCCATTCTCGTTTCTGACTCCAAGTCCGTGTTTCCCCATGATTCCCCATGATTTCCTCAAACCTTTGCCACTAACAACAGTGTCATTGGTGAGCTATGACGTAGGCCATATGCGTACGCAAAATGTGGATGATGAGCGAAAAGCGCTGTGAACAATTCCGTTTTCCGCGTGAAAGAGATTTGTAGTATTTTATATAAATTTATCAAGAAAAGTTTTTTTTAATTTAGCCTCTCTTGTTGTGGAAACATATGATTAAGTTAAGACAAATTGATACAAACTGCTGTGCAAAGTATGGGTGACATTAATTCACCCGTTAAAAAGATATTTGAAGATAAGTTGAGCCACGAATTTTTTACCGCACTTTAGTTATGTATTCTGTCTCAAGTTCTTGTAAAACATGAGGGACTTGGACTTAATATTTACAACTGCGCTGCGCCAGCGTCTGTTGTGAAATTATTAGGGTCTTCGCCTTGCACTAATTTTTTTATTTTTTTTTTGGGGAAGGGGTATTTTATTAAGTCCCCGCCTGTCTGCTTGGATTTTGTATCAGATGTATCCCTTGTTATAGCCGCAGTTAGAGCTGACAGGCAGGGTTAAAATATTAATAGACGTAAAACCCTAACTGAGCTTGTCATGAATACTTCTTTCAACTCACCTGCTATAACGCCGAAGAAGACGCACATGGCAGGCACGGAGACGATCAAGGGCGTGAGGAGCATTCCCACAACCACTAGGCTGGCTCCGATCAGCGACAACTTCCGGTAAGTGATTCTGGTCATGAGAAAGCTTGCAAGTGGTCCTGTAAACAAGGGAGTGTCGTACAAGTGAACATGAATTTTGTCTGGTTTTGTTAGAGTTTGATGGTTTACAAAACGCCTATTTGGTAAGAGTTTTGAGGGCGGCCCACTAGTGCTACGGGCTTAAAGTACATATAGTATCGTAGACAAGCTGTTAAATGTCCTAAGTTCAGAAAGCATCTTTTTAGAAGAGAGGAAAATGGTGTTTTGATTATTTTACAAATTGTACCTACGTTGTGTATCTTTTCTTGTTTTCTTTTTCAATGTTTTTAATTTGAATTTCGTCCCAATATTTCACGTGTATATGCAACGGATACCACAGATTAAGAAACTGCAATTTTTAAAAAAAATTTTATCATAATTTCGGACGTTGTACATCTGAACAGCTGGCTGACGACCTATCTATCCTAGACCTGACAATAGACAACAAATTAGCTAGAAACAGAGCTGGACAGAAATCATAGTGAGAATAGGGATAAGACTTCGTCTATACTCCAAAAAAGCAGGGGAATTGCTGGAAATCTCACTGGCATAATGATCCAGGTTATGCTCTCTCTCTCTCTCTGTCTCTCTCTCTGTCTCTCTCTCTCTCTCTCTCTCTCTCTCTCTCTCTCTCTCTCTCT